CCATCACCTACTTTAAGCATTCTGGTCACACTGGCTCGCTTGTTGTGAACTCCATTTGCAAAGCACACTCCTGTCCTAGAGTCTTTGCACTTGCTCTTCTTTCTGCTATGAATGTTCTTTCTCTAGCTATTCAGAATGTTTTCTGACTTCTGAAGGGCCCTGCTCAAATGTTTCCTCATCAGTGGCATTCTCTTGATTTCCCAATCTCTCTGAAAATTTCTGTTCCTTTACCATGCTTTGTATTCCTTTATAGCACTTTTATCAGTCATCATGTTTGCTTATTGACTGTCTTCTCCTAACTAGAATGTAAGCTTCCTGAAAACAAGGCTTTGTTTTATTCTTTGCTGTATTCCTAGTACCTTGAACAATACCTAGCATGTAGATGGAGAACAAATGAATGAGAAGAGCTATGTAATTGACTATGTCTCCATTTTTACCTGGGCTTTGAAAAAGCTCAGAGCCAACTGGAAACTCAGCTGTGCTTGGTGCCTTTGGACCTTGCATGTTTATATTCCTTATATCCTGCCTCTCCTGACTTTAAGCCTTATATTTTCTTACTCATTGAGTCTTAAGTTCTCATTTATATTTGCTGTGTTCATGTAAGTTATTTCAAATACTTTGTGGAAAAGAGGGACTTAGTAAAAAGAAATTCTTAACGTGTTAAATAACATGGATCTGCTGCTAATATAAATAGCTTCTCAGAATTAGTAAAAGAAAGTACTTCTCTGTTGGAATTCTTATGCTGCTAATTTGACCATGAGCGTTTCAGGAAAAAGTATTTTATATGTTTCTTTTGGCATGTATGCCCCTAGGTTTGGGGACTGTTTGAAAAATCTTAATTTATTTGAAACAACTACTGTATATAATGGACTTAATCTGTTTTCAGAGATGCTGATGATAAACACAAGCTTATAACTAAAACAGAAGCAAAACAAGAATACCTTCTGAAAGATTGTGATTTAGAAAAAAGAGAACCAGCTCTTAAATTTATTGTGAAGAAGAATCCTCATCATGCACAATGGGGTGATATGAAACTCTACTTAAAATTACAGGTCTCCAATAAGTTATAATCAGTCATTTTAAACCCTGGGTCGGGTGAAGCTTTAACAATGAACTAGTTATAATTAGTTTTCACTTACAGAAAGTTAAAAAGATCCTTTTCATTTTATTGTTTGACACGAGCCATAGTCGTACATAATGACATTTAATAACATGTTTACTTATTTTGCTTTTTGTTGTTTTTTTTTTTTTTTTTTTTTAATATTTATTTATTTATTTGGCTGCACCAGGTCTTAGTTGCGGCATGTGGGATCCTCCCGGACCGGGGCACGAACCCGTGTCCTCTGCATTGGCAGGCGGACTCTCAACCACTGCGCCACCGGGGAGGCCCTATTTTGCTTTTTGATGTGGCACTTTGAAGCAAATATATTACTACTGGGTGATGTTAGGAGTACAATTTGGAAACAAAAATGCTTGAAATAGGAGTCAGCCCTTGCCCACCTACCCCGCAAATAAAATCATAAAAAAAAAATTTGGGAATTTCACAGATGCCCAGAATCTAACTCCAGCTTCCTGTATCTACCCAAGAATGGTACAAATATCATAATATTCTTTTTTGTGCCATTATATAAAAAATATTGGGAGGCATTGCTTTAGAGCACAGTTTGATTGGAATATACTAGAAGATCCTAGTATCTTCTAATAAACCACATTGTAAAAGCAGACATATATTGAATTTTCACTAAACATAATACACTATTGATTAAAAGATTCACCATAATTTTATGTACTATTAAAAATGAAAAAATGCTGCTAATTAAACTGACCCAGTGCTGCCTTATCACTTGATGCTTTTATTTTATTGAAATAGTGCCATTAGACTTACTATAGTTTTTTTTTTGCTATAAATCATGCTTGTGTGTACATAACAAGGAAAATGCAAGTACCACAGATTTATTAAGGTATTCCTAAACTTACTTACATTCAGAGTCCAATTCTTCTGAATCACTTCTTGACTCAGGGTTGTTAAAGTACCATTAAGTTACATTAGTGATGCAGCATTTTCAGGGATGTTAAATTGTGGAAAATGTGATGTTTTAGAATTTATGAAGTAACAGTGTATTTCTTTATGTTAAGAAATTTCAGTTTGGCTTTATTGATTGATATTTTGGTCCCTGTAACATATTGTGAGAGATATCCCGAGCATAATTCTCAGTGTGTATATTATTTCCCTACATGTAAATAAATATTATAAAGAGTACATATATATATATATATTCCAAGGTTTTTAAACTAGAATAAAGACTTGTTAGGTCATTCAGCTACCAAAGTTTTTAAAGAAAATTCATATTTTTAAGATCAGAAATTAGTCAAGTGGATGGAAACTGTTATTGATTCAGGAGAAGAGTAGTAGTGATTGATTTCCTGTGATGGGAGATTTCTGGAGATGACCTCATATTTAGATCTGATACGGCTAATTGGTCAGCAGATTTTTTTGGGTGATCCTGCCAAAACTCGATCAAACCCACTGACTACATGTAGTTCTCTCGATTCACGTGAAAACAAAGCAGAGAAGTGATTGCAGTCAGAGGACAGCTTTTCTATTTACACAGGTACACCTAGTTTTATTGTGCTTTGCAAATACGTAATCTCATTCATCATACATTCACTGACGGTTTCATAGGTTTATAGATAGAGATATTATTAGAGTTGTTTCTTTTTTTTTTTTTTTTTTTTTTTCGGTACGCGGGCCTCTCACCGTTGTGGCCTCTCCCATTGCGGAGCACAGGCTCCGGACATGCAGACGCAGCGCGGGGCACGAACCCGTGTCCCCTGCATTGGCAGGCGGACTCTCAACCACTGTGCCACCAGGAAAGCCCTAGAGTTGTTTCTTATCAATATTTAAAAACTTTTAAATTTCAAATAAATACTTATAAAATTGCACTTAAGTTAGATCACTCTTTGGCATCTATGGATTTAATAATTATAACTATTTTACAACAATGAATCACAACTAATTTATGGATTCTGTATTTCAGATTGTGAAGCGGTCTCTTGAAGTTTGGGGTAGTCAGGAAGCATTAGAAGAAGCGAAGGAAGTTCAACAGAAAAACCGAGAAAAAATGAAACAGAAGAAGTTTGATAAAAAAGTAAAAGGTAAGTGGCTACATTTATATCATGAAGGACTGTGCTCTACTGCTTTGCAAAGAGCCTTTAGCTAAGTTCTTCCACTTTAAAGATACAGTGTCACTGTTGGATTGGAAATTTTTTTTTTCCATAAATTGAAGAACAAAAGACTTAAAGTTGCCCTCAGTAAGTTGGTGTTTGAGACTCTTAGTCCAAACCTCACTGCAATTCTAAAAAAGCATGTAAGCCCTCGTCTTCAAGTGAGTCATGTTTTTGTATAGGAACGGTGGTAGGGTCAGGAATGTACCCCTGGTTAAGGGTTTGGCCTCAGTGCAATCTTAAATGTGACCCACACGGTTATCAAAAGTGAAGTTTTCCACCAGCAAACCTCTCTAATTGCTTAAAATGAAAAAATAATGCCTAAGTCTCAGTGATCTAATTTAGCAGCTAGAAGGAACCTTCTAATGTCAGATAGTCTAATCACTTTTATATATGAATAAAAGACCTGGAAAGGTAGAGTGACTTGTTACATAGGTGCTAGAGAGTTGGGACTGGAGCCAGGATTTCATGACCGAAAGTCTGCATTGGTACATTCATTCCTCTGTCCATACATCTGTCTATCCATGTAACTATCCATTCTTTTGTCCATCTATCTCTGTATTCATTTGTCCATGCATTCATCCATGTATGCATATGTGCAGAAGTCTGTCCGTCCAGTGTATCCAACAATTGCTAAGTGTCAGCTGTGTACCACGCTCTGTGCTAACACAAATGCTGGCGTCAACATTTTGTCAGAAGAGAAAGACTGGTAAACTTAGTCATAATCGAGCGTGATAAGTACTGTGACAGCGATGAACATAGGGTGTTATAGGAGCACAAAGGGCACTTGTTGGCTGTATCACAGATTCCCTACAGAGAATCTTAAAAAGTAGGTGTAAATGTTCTTCATACAGTAGAGTGCCAGTGTGGTGTCAAGTGTATATAGATAACATGTATTCTCTGTATACACAGGGTTATACATATAATAAATTGATCCATTTAAAATGAGTATCGTAGCCATAATAAGTAATTTTGCTTATGTGTTTAGGCTTTAGAAGAGGTTTTGGAGGGTGAATGAAGATAGTTCAGGTGTCTTAAAAACAAAAGAGCAAAAAAAAAAAAAATTGAATGTAAGCCTACCTTGTTCCTTCTTATTGTGAGGGAATTCTTTCCCCCTTTTCAGTACAAGAGTAATTCATGTGAAGTGCAGAGAAGTTAGAAAACTAAAGAACTTCTATCCCATAATTATACTACCCAGAGACAATCATCAGTTTAATGTCTATTTTTCCAGTTCTTTTCTATGCATAGGCCCTTAAAAAATTTTTATAAAAATGGAAGCACAGTTGGACATTTATGAAGTTTATCAAAACTTCTCTGTAAAAAAAAAAAAAAAAAAAAGAAAAACTTCTCTGTATTTCAGTTTCTTCAACTATAAAAATGATGATAATACCACCCACCTTATAAAAGTTTAGTAAGGAATCAGTGAGACATTACACATAAGTTGCTTAGATGAGAACTAGGGCAGAGTGACATCCCATAGATCGTAGTATTACTATGGCATATTATGTACCTATTATAAGAATATGGCAGTTCTGCATGTGTTGCTGTACAAGGATACTCTTTTTTTTCCCCTGTAGATATTATATAATGAAGGCAGGTAAAAGATCCACTTATATATCCTTGGACTTGGGTGTAAATGTTCAAATATCTGTCAATGATTGCTTTATTCTTTAATTACAGGAAGGGAATAATAGTTGAGCATATTTCAAATTTCTAATTCTGATTACAAATGAAAATTTTGATATATAAAATTGATCAACTTAACAATAAGGAATAAAAATCAAAGTTTAATAAAAAAAATTTATCAAAGACACACAACCCCATGATAAACATCCTTATATACATCTTTATATAAATTATAGTTACTTAACATATCATTTCCTGAATCAGAGGGTAATAAGCACACATATAATATATATGCCTTTGTAGAGAGGTTTCCTATAGCAAACTATGCCATGTAAGAGCATTTCATTGAAGATTTGTCCCCAGATTAGCCACTTCTGTACCACAGTCATCCAGAATACCTGCAAGGGCCAGTTGAGAGGATTTGGAAAGACTTCTTTTGAATTTGGTCCTTTCTTTAATCTCTTCCATGTTTTACCCCGACCCTTCTTCTCTTCCAACATCAAGGAAAGCCTTGAGGGATCAGGTAACAGAAGGCACCTTAAGGGGTGTGAAAGAGGAGGGCACATTTATAGACTAATCACATACCAGCCTAGAGTTTTTGTCAGCCCCAGCTCCCTGAATCACCTCAGCTCTTCCCTTTCTGCTGCCTCCTCAAACCACTTTCCTGATGGTATTTTGCTGTAGATAATAATATATGGATAAAGGAATTAGAAACATATACCTTCAAAGTGATGAAATATTTTAAAAAGAGGGTCTATCTGTAGTTTTATTAGATACTATAATATTTCTGTAGTTTGGTCAAGATGTCATCTAAAGGGGACTAAATTCTGTAATTTGACTAACAATAACAGATGATGGCATCTGTTTAATTTTTTCATGCTTTTTTCTGTAACAGTTCTATTAAGATAGTCATCTATTTAAATATTAGCATGAATAGAACATTTCTTTTAAGATTTACACAGTTCACATGGGTATTTTTTTTAAAGAAGTATAAACTCAAACATAATTGGCTGTTTTTCTCGCTATGTTAAATTGCTGCTATTATCCACCAGATAAACTACTGTGGATTTTCCTCATCCTTGAAGAGTTTGAATTTGCCCTAAATTTTTTCTTGGACCTCTTAAGACTGGTTTCTTTAATTCAGTTTATTTCTTGTTTGGGTGAAGCATGTTTTTTGAGGAAATTTTCTAAGTGGTTACAAGAATGGTTTATTTTCTAAGACCCTGTTACGAATCTAAGAATGTTTTTCTGTTTCTCTTGCATATGAAAACTTGAGTTCTCTCTCAGTTGTATAAACATTACTCCATTGTCTTCTGGTCTTTAATGTGCAGAGGTCAGTGCCATGCCTTCTTTAATTATGGCTTCTTCTTGTTGATTTACTTTAGAGGTTGGTGGATATGTTCCTGTCCTCCTGACTAGGCCACAAAGGGCTGAGAGTGGAGTAGACACTGTAGAAATTAGAAACAAGGAGCTTGCTATGCACTTTGCTCAGAAGGCTCAGAACAGAGAGGAATAAAAGCAAGTCTAAAAGTTTTTTTAGTTCAAAAGAAATTGGAACCTGGTTCCTCTTGGTCTTCTGATTTTGATCCACAAAGAAGCTGACACAAAGTTTACTTCTTTATGGAAAGGTAAGAGATTACATTTACCTGTTTTTAGAATATGATCTTCTACTTCATCAGTTTGAGAAAGAATTGATCTTACTAGAGAAGGAAATTATAGATAGTGTAAGGTGTATATATAAATTTAGACAAGGTGAAAGACAAAGAATTTCCTTGTCGGCAAGTTCAAATTGTTACAGATCTCTTAGATCCAAGAAGGCAGAAGTAGAAAGGATGGCATCACTGTGCTTAGTTTAACTAGATTTTAAAAAAGGCAGTGTGTGTTGGCCTGGATATTGGATGGGAACTTTGAATTGGTGCAAATACACAGAACATTTTGGGTTTGCGTGGCTCCTTTCCACAGATAAGGTGGCTGTAAGGCTTTTCTTTAAAGTTATACTCAGCTTTTCTCTTAATACTGGTAGAGGTTAGCCTTCTAAAAACAAAGAACAATTAATCTTAATTGTTTGTTAGTATGCACTTTTTTCCCCAAAAGAGGTGGGTGAGAAAATCCCATTTGGAGGCTCCTTCTAAGTTTGTGAACATTTTACATTCTGGGCCTGTGGTTATATTTATGACTATTTTTGGGCTTCTCTCAGGGGAGTTTGAAGGACACAGTTTCCTATCCTTAGTTTTGGAGGACAAAGTAAGATCAAAGCTTCATATGTTATTTCCTTGTGATTTTTTTCCCCTCTCGTTACCAGTGGGCACCCTATGTCAAAACTTCCTGCCCTCCCATCAGGTATTTAGAAGTATCTGGTCTCTCTCCACTAGTTCTTTTGTAAGTTTACCTGGTAAACAGCATTGGGCTTCTTTGAATACAGGCTGCCTCTTTTGTAAAATTAAGATATTAAGCTGGATAAAATACAAGTTTTAGAGTGGTATAAAATACATTTTTCATTGAAACAAAGATTTAGGGGAAAAGTTCTTTGGGTAAAAAATAGAAACAGTCCCTGAAGATAATCAGTAGCAGGACTGATGGTTATCACAAACAGTTTTATAACCTTCCCAGAGAAGTAGTCTACAGCTTTTTGTGTTGTGAAATCCTAGGCCAGTGGGGCCAGGAGGTTGGAACGTGTTAACCGCTGTCCTGTTCTCCAGCCTCGGTTAGGCTTTCAGGGCTGCTTGATATGTCCCCGCTCCACTCCCAAGGTTTCCTTAGTTTTCCCAAGGCCTAGCAGACCTTTTCTCACTCTTCTAAAGTCTCTGATCTTTCCACCTTTTCTTCTCATTCTCAGCAGTAGGTAGTTGACCTCTACTTTCCAAAGTTTTAAGTTGCTTAAATGAAGTAATGTGAAAAACTTTCTAATCCTTATTTAAACAAATTTTTTATTTCACCAGATGTTGACATTTTGCCACATTTGCTTTTTTCTCCTTCATTCACACACACATATTTTGCTGAACCATTTAAGAGTTACTTGCAGACATTGTGATTCTTATTAATACTTAAGCATTTATCTACTATAAATAAAGACATGTTTCTGCTAACCAAAAAATAGTCACACTCAATAAACAACATTAATATAATGCTTTTACCTAGTATATAATCTATATTATTTGTCTTTCCCCAGTTGTTCCAATGTCCCTTTATAGCTTTTTAGTTGTTGGATCCGGGGGCCAATCAAGGATGATGCATATCCATAGTCTCTTTGGTTTATTAGCAGTTTTCTCACGATTAGATTCTGATCGGTTACCTCAGGAGACACATGGTATCGCTTAGGTAAGGTAGTGTCTGCCAGATTTCTCCATTGTAAAGGTACCCTTTCCCCTTTGTAATTAATAAGAAATCTATGGGGTGACTGACACTATGTGAACATCTCATTCCTTAAGTTTCACTCAGTGGTTTTAGCACCCAGGTTGAATCTTGCCTGAGTCAGTTATTATTAGGGTGGATATAAATGGTGACTTTCTTTTTCTGTTATTTCTACAATTACTATTTGGCTTCTTTTGGAAAGAAGAGCTTTTTTTTAGTACTAGTTGGATTCATGGATTCTTATTCTCAAGTAACTGTTACAGTCTGTCCATTCCTGATTATTCATTTTGACGCCCAAATTTGGCCATTGGAAGCCCCTTCAATCTAGCTACTGTCTTTTAAAAATGTTTTTATTTGGAAATAATTTCAAACTTACATAAAATTGCAAGGATAAGAATGGTACAAGGGACACCCAGATTCTTCACCCAGATTTACCTATTAACAACTTTATGTCATTTGCATTCTCTCTACACATACGTTTATTTCTGAGCCATTTAAGAGTAGGTTGTGTACATTGCCACCCTTTTTTTACCCCTAAATACTACAGTGTATATTTCCTAAGAATAGGAATATTCTCTTACAGAAGTATACTACTGATATTTTTATCTAATCTGTCATCCATATTCCGTTAGTTGACCCAATCATGTCCTGTGTAGTTTTTTTATTCTAGTACAGAATCCAGTCTAGGATCAGGTATTGGCTTTAGGTACCAAGTCTTCCTAAACTACTTTATTCTGGAATATTTCCACAGCCTTTATCGTTTACGACACTGACATTTTTGAAGAAGTCTTTTCTCTTCCCCTGCCTGCCTTTTTTGCAGTAATATGTTTTTCATTTGGGATTTTTCTGATGTTTCCTGGTGGTTAGATTCGGGTTATTCATTTCAGGTTGGATAGAACATAAATGAAGTGACTTTTCTAGGGCATCACATCTGGAGGCATGTGATATCCATCTGCCCTCAATGGTGATGTTAATATTTATTTTTGATAAGCAAAAAAAACCCTGTAAGACCACGTAAATGTCCTGCTTCTCCTCAACACTTCACCCTAAATTTAACATTCATCCGTGGATGGTTCTTGCCTGAATCAGTATTTAGTATGATGGTTGCAAAAATTGTTTTCTACCTTCAGCGCTCACTCCACATTTAACCAGTTGGAAATTGGCATTCTATAGCATCATTCCCCCATTTGTTTATTACTGGTATGGATTCATTAATTCCTATTCTTCTCAGTGGCTTTTGGTTCATTTCTGTTCTCAATTATTTTGGTGCTCAAATTGTTTCAGATTTGGGCCCATAGGAGTATCTTCAGGCTAGGTCTTGTGTCCTTCTGACATGTCTTCATCAATCTTTGACCACTTCTTTCTAGCTTAAAACACGTGTATATCTAATACATAATTAAATCCTTGAGTTTACATTATATCGAGTTCTAATCCAAAATTTTAGGGTTTATTCTGGTTTTCTTCCTTTCCTTATTTGTAATTTCCTTCTTTGACAGTGAGAAACCTGATTTCCATTATCCTTTATAATATATAGTTATTTGATTAGTGCCCCTGAATGTACCTAATTTCCCTTCACTGTTGCTGCCTCCTCTCTAGGAGACCCTCCTTATCTATCTTGGGCTCTCCCCCACCCCCATGCCCACTTGCTCCACCTCATGGCTTTAAGACTAGATCGGTCGTGTGGGGAAAGAAGGGCAAGAAAATGACAGATATACCAGTTTTGTTTTGTTTTGTTCTAGTGCCTCCTAGCACAAGTTTTTTCAGGAATGTCTAGTAAATACTAAAGATATGGCTTTATTGTCATTATAGATCTTGATAGATTAGCTGAAGGATGGGAAGAAAAGCCATAAAGTCAGTATAAAACCTTATGTTCAGTTGTGACAATTATGGCTAGTAAGCTGGATTTTTGTTAAGTATTCTTTCAGTCTTAAGAAAATTTTCTTATCTCTCTTCCTAAGTTCACATAACGCACAAACTGGGCAGTTAGCTTAGCGACTGGGATGCAGTCAGATTTTGAGAGATTTTCCTCGTGGGGTAGTAAAGGGAAAGTGGCCAGGATACCTTACCTCAGAGCAAAGTTGAAAAGTAGGTATTGGAACTTACACAGGAGACATCTTCCTGTCATTATCTGAAACCATGAGGCATCTGTGCAGTTCTGGTCAGCATATCATTTATTTTTTATTTTAAAAATATCCCAAGGTAGAAAAATAAAAGGATAAAGGGCATTCCAGATATGTTTAGAAAAATTAGGGCTCTTCAGAATATGAGAGGATATAGGCATAAAGGTTAGAGTTTGGATGAACATGATTTTCTCCCTAGTTTGGAAACTGTCTAGAGGTATATACACTGAAGCTTGAAAGTGTCTCAGATAAAGTGCTTTTCATGTTGGAGGTGTATGAAAAGGCATCACAGCTTAGTGGTTAAGAACATGGCCTGAGCTAGACTGTGCCTCTGCCTGACCTTAGGCACAACTTATGTAACTTCTCTGAGCCTTAGTTTTCTCATCTGTAAAACTGGGTTGATAGTTGTACTTATTGCAAAGTGTTGTGAGGATTAAGTTTTATAAATAAAGTACTTAGAACAGTGCCTGATACATAGCCCTATTTGCTTGCTTATCCTCATGGTACAAATAAAGGCTGAAAATACAAAGATTCAAGTATTATTTTGATAGTACTTATCATAGTAAAATGGATTAAACAAAATGTGTGTGATTACTTGGTGTACTTTGATTTTTTAAGGTTGAGATTATAGAAGATAATGATCATACCCTCCCTTGGGTAGTGCTGCTGTCAAAAGTGCAGGGCTTGATGGATCATTGGTCAGAATAGAAAAATGAAAACAACTTGTGTTGCTTTTTATTCATTAAACTAGAAACTGAGATGTTATTAGCTTGTTAATTTCTGATTAACACAAAGCATTTGGTTTCTTCAAGTAACATGCAGTGTGAACTTTAGAATGTCCTAGTCGCTTTTCAGAGCATCCAACGTAACTTTTCTTTGTGAAAATGACATCTTAACGTGACGTAGCGGGAAAAGTTCTAAACATTGGAATAAATGACCTGGGTTCCCATGCTATCTTTGCTCAATTTCCTTACCTGCAAAGTAAAATGAAGTAAAATAACTCCATGGTTCTTTCCGGGGCTTAATAGTCAGTGATTCTTTTATTTATGTTGTACTTTGCATGATTACTAGCAATTTATGTCCTAAACTATTGCTCTCATTTTATAGGATAAATAATAATAGACATAAGGTCAGTTGCATGAGCAGCTTTTCTAACATCAGCCATGAACTAGTGGCGGAGTTCTTGGCTTTCTAGTTTTCTTGCAAGCAAAGTTTGACTTGCCTCTTAGAGAAGTAGCTCCTGACTTACAAGGAGTTTAAAATGCTCTTTATCCTCAGTCATCCCAGCTGATTGCCCTTTCCTGCTGTGGCATCTTGTTTTCTGTAGCCAGCTGCTCGAACAAACCCTGTTCTTTCGCTTGTCTTCTGAATCTAGTTTTTTGCGGTCCCTCTAGTCCATATACCTCAATTCTGAATCTCCTGTTTCACACTAACTCCAACAGTCACATGAATGATTTCACAGGCCAAACCAGTGAGTGAGATAAGTAAGCTTGCCAAATCTGTATCAGCAGTTTTGATTTGTTATAAAATTAAGGTGTAAACCACATTTGGTTTAAACACACACAGCTGAAATAGCACCACTGAAAAACTGGCTTTTATTTTTCTCTTAGAATTACGGCGAGCAGTAAGAAGCAGTCTATGGAAAAAGGAGACAGTTGCTCATCAACATGAGTATGGACCAGAAGAAAACCTAGAGGATGACGTGTACCGGAAGACTTGTACTGTGTGTGGCCATGAACTGACATACGAGAAAATGTGATTTTTAGTTAAGTGATATGTTTTATAGTGTGGAAATTTAGATTGGTCTTGTTCAGAATTCATCAAAATGTAAAGTCTTCATAGATGAATGAAACACTTGTATAAATAATGCTTAAATAATTATGTATGTTATGGCTTAAAAACAAGTTTCAGTTAAGGTCCAGCAGGTCTGGTTGTGGGCGAAATATTGGGTCTGTGACCATTTTTTCTACAATAGGGATGGGAGCTGAGTGATAGGTTCAAAAATGTTAGGTTAGAGCTAAAATTGAGAAGCAACCAAGACAAACCCTAGATTGGGGTAGGAGGAAGAGCTTTTAGTAGTAAAGGCAAAAACTGGCTGAACTGGATTCTTATCCCAAGAAACAGCATGGATGGTGGTAGACCACTGCACCCCAGAGGCTGGGCCAGGTCTTCTAGACTACTACTGTCTGCAAGTCAGGGAGCAGGGAGCTATTGCTGGGACAAGTTTTCTGTACCCTTAGGGTTTACTACTATAGATCTTAATATTAGTTTCCAGATAGTCCTTTTCAAATCTGGATTAAAATGGAAAAACAGCTATATTGTTTGTTGATCAAAGGTAGTGATAAGTTTATCATAACTTGTTAACATTTACTGAGCATTTACCACGTGCCATGCAGGCACTATGCTAAGTGCCTTACAGGTATTCTCATTTAATCCTGGGAGGGAAGACAGCTTGCTGTGCTTGTTTTAACACTTCTAAAGGAGGGGTAACCTACAACCTGACATCACCCCAGACATCTTGATCAAGTTTAGGTAGTCAAATATTCCTCTGTCTTGTCAAAAGGATTACAAGATAGTTATATCTAGTAAGAGCATTTGATCCCGAGTGCTTGATTACAGGGTCTATGCATTCTTTCCCTGATAAAAACAAATACAAGTTATGATAAACTAGATATTTTCAAGTTCTTTGACAGGACTTTTTATCCTACTGCTACAAATAAATAGGAAGTTTTTGTACATTTTCATTTCTCTCTCTAGATCAGCTCTTGGAGATTATGCTTGAAGAAGGGCAAAAGTCAAAACAAGTCAAATCCAAAGACCTGAGACTATAATTACTAATTGTTCTCTATATAAGTATTCAATACAGAAATGTTTAATATATTTATCGAGTGTTGATTTTTTTTAATGTGTTATGCTGAATATTGCAGCTCACTAAAAAGCGATTCCAAATGGGCGGCAAGAACTTCTTGGGGGAAAAAAAAAACACCTTCCCAGCAAGTAACTAGGGGTTCAGGCTGCTGACAACAGCATTACTACTGGGAGACAAGAAGCCCTAAAACCACCACATGGATATAGTTTCAGATTCCACTTACTACCTGTGGACCTTGGGTAAGTTACTCCGTGGGCCTGTTTTTATCTATCAGATGGGTATAATCATGTAAGGACCCTCATGACGATTAAATACGGTGAATCTATAGCATCTGGCACGTAACAGCCAGTTGTTAATGAGCACATCATATCATCAAGACCAGTGTAGTTAATAGACTTGTCCAGTTGAGGTGGGCTTCTAGTCACTCTTCACCTTCATCAATTTAGGACAGTCCTGGTATCCAGCTATCACTGACAGCCAGATCTGCTTTTGGTTGCCAAGTTCTGTCCTCATCTTTCATTTTCAGGTATAATTGTAGATTAGTAAGTTAATACAAATCACTGCTAAATACTTTCCAGAAAAAGCAAACAAACTTATCTTCATATGAACTGCTTTCTGAATAATTCCTGGGAGATTGAGAGTTAAGGAAAAGTATATGTTCACTTTGACAAAAGCATGTTAAATGGCATCAGCACAGTTTGATAGAATATTGATTTATTGCAAGGTACGACGTACAGTTACAGTGACATGCCATTCTTTTGTCTGTGTGAGCTTCATTAGTGGGGAGAGCAACTGTTGAATGTTTGCTCTTGTACCTTTACTTCTTCAAAATTCAGTCTCTGATTCAGTTTTTTCATATACCTAGCTGCCAGACTGGGTCAGAGCCAGGGTTACATCAGTGAGCAACTGTTAGAAGCAACCATTACACATGAAGAGAGGGTCCAAGAGAAAGGAGGTGAAAACCTAGAAATTCCTCTAGGATTTGGATCAAGTAAGTATAACTAGCCAAACTTTGCAATACATTATGAAAGGATTACAAAGCAGTTTAGGATCAAAGTTAACCAAAGCCTTAAATGGTTATCCTTTAGCTTCTTGAGGATAGGAGGTTTTTCTAATTACGTAGTTTGTGGGAAGGAGGAACAGTGTAAACAAAAGAACATTTAGCAAAGAACCTGGGTTTTAGTTCCCTTTCTGCCGGTAACTTGCCATGCAACCTTAATCCTGTGACTGTTTGCTAAATGGTACGGTATTTAAATCCTGGGAATTTCCATCTATTGAGTAGACTATATTCTGTAGCCACTAAATGTTATGATAAACCAAAGAGGCCCCATATATTAATATGGAGAATACCTAACGCATTGTAAACGTACGAGGTACTAAGCTAAGAAAAGTACATCTGTACAATGCACAGATGCTTACAGTTGTGGGATTACTGGTAAATTTAGTCTAAAAATGCTAGGATTTGGAATGTCAGATAATCCCTTGTGTGTTATTTAACAGTGTACTTTTATCATCTTAATTAAGCCTCAACACCATATAGGAAACAGGCTCCGGAATTAGTAATTACTTGGCCCACCCAGACTCCATAGAAATAAAATCCAAACCTACATCTAATGCCAAGTATAGTTTTAGCCAATCTAGCTACTTCTAAATCCCACTTTAGCATGTAATTCACTGTATGACCTGACAGATGTCTCAGATTTGAGGAAATGACCAGATGTTCTAAGATGATGAATAGTTCAAAACTTATCTGCACATTGGAATTACCCGGGAGCTTTAAGAACTACCAATGCCTGTGTTCCACCCCCAGAGAGTGTGGTTTAATTAGAAGAGCCCCAGGTGATGAATTTGGGAACTTCTACTCTAATAACAGTAGTGTCTTAAAATACTACAGTAATGAAAAATACTTTGAAGAGAAAATTTCAGATGGAGGTAAGAAACCTCACTTTTAGTAAGAAACCACTAATTTTTTAGTAAGAAACCACTAATTTTAAAGTAGACTGAGATGATAAATCATGAAATACCAAGGTTTAAAAAACATATTTTCAGTTTTATTTCAGCCATGTTAGGTTACCCATGAGCTGTGAAAAGCTATGCTACTTGATAATAAACCATCAGTTCTATATACTGCTTTGTAAGCTTGACCTCTAGTGTTACACATACCTCAAATCAGTTATCTTTTGTCCCTTAAGGAGAAAAAATACCAGAGAGAAGTTGTATCTGTCACATACATAATACATCCATCCTATGGTCATTGTCACAGTATTGTCATTAGGGAATATCTGCTTTTTAGGGGCAGTTAAAGGTAATACCATATTCTTCACTGTCCTGTCCTCCCCCTCTGCTTCAAGAAAGGATGCTACAAGAAAGCAAGCATTCAAACCATTAAAAATAAGACATTATTTTGAGATCTTAAAAAAATCTTGACAGGAGGGGAAAAAAAAATGACCCTTAGGCCTGCAGGGCACAGAACTGCTGGAACACAGCCAGGATATGAGGGTCTAATTCAGCAGTGAAGAGCAGGTTCTCCAGGGTCACCATGTACTGCTGGATTATTTGGTGATGCTGTGGACACAGAAAAGGGGATAAGTGTTTAGGTCAGGAGAAAACGCACATAAGCAATCTTGCAGAACATTTTCCTCAGCGGCCCATCCACACTGGAATGATGGGAAAGAACAGGAAAAAAAAAAGTGGTTTTGCTGGTAGGAATAATAGGCCCCTGAAAAGCCTCAACATTAAGAAAATGTAGGAGTAAACGAGTTCCAAAACAAAACAAAAGGATGTTCAATAATTTAAAAAATCCAGTTCTGGCCTGCTTCTATGTAAATGCAATTCATACTTCAAGGCAGTGGCAGCAGCACCTGCTACTATTCTAGATGAGGTTCAGATGCGTCTCTTCCCTAATCAGGACAAAATACAGTATGACTTTTTAAAAGCTGTCAGGACAGGGACTGATCTAGGAAGATTTAAAAAAAAAAAAAAGGGGGGGTGTTGAGGGGGAGGTGGTATACATTACAAATAAGAATAGCACTGTTACTAAGTAACCATGGTTTTAACCACGGTCCCTGAAACAAAAATTTGGAATCATTTCCTTTTTTTGGTTAGGGCTGTAACGTATCTCTTTGTAAAAGAAAAAAATATTAAGAGAATTAGCCAGTGATATTAGCCAGTGATCTGTGAAGTATTCCACAAAATAGGAAAACCTCATTTTTTTAAATTAATCTTTTAAAAATAAAGAGGTCATCTGTCTTACTGAAAATCAGTGACTTGTTGAGCCTAACTGGGAAAAAAAATGTCAGAAAATGAAAGTTTCTTCTATGTGTACAAATATAAACTTTAATATACTCAGATTCCTATAGGACTAACTAGGGGCTGTTAAAGCTTTTTAATTTGACAGTAACTAAAAAATCTAGAATAAGTTTTTGTTTGGAGCCTTAAAAAACTCCCCCCCCCCTTTTATGCCTTCTGCTTTAATCACTCTTTTCTAGAACAAACAAATGAGGATTTGGGGTGTTAGTATCTGAAGATACAAAGGATTAGTTTCACTCTCTTACAGATCTTTAAATCTAGCAGAGAGTAGGTGTTGCATTTTGCTTTCCATAAGGACCTCAGAGAACTCAAATAGTGCCTCCAGAAACAAGGTTATCATCTGCACACTGAATTTACAGAGATTCTTAAGATCTGATTACTCTTCCCTTAGCATTTTTTTCTCTATATGTTGTATTACAGCTAGGCTCTCCAAAGAGAATGGCAATTAGG